CTTTTGTGGGCGAAGGGTATAGGCTCCCTATATCTTTTGCTCGCATCAACACTTTGCTCCTTTTTAGGTTAAAAAGGCTTATACCATCATTTTATCCCTAATTATGCTTCAATTGCATGGGAAGGAAGTCTTGGACTAGGAGTTCAGAGTCTGATCTGTTATAGGTATTTTGTACTTTTGATTTTTATACAGTCATGGCTTTTATGTTCTGTTTTTCTTTCTGTCTGAAAGCCATGAGCTGTATTTGTATATGATTCCTTTGAGGAAGAAAAGATAGATGATCTGTTCCGCTGTATTTTGATGTTTATAGTAGCTCTGTGTGTCTGTTTCTGTGTGTAAATGTTTGGAAGAAAGTTCTGAAACAAATTCCAAAGCCAGATCCTGGAATCAGTTCAGTCAGTTTGAGTTTGGCCACGACCCGATGCGAGCGGGATCCGTCCCGGTCGGGTTGGGTCGTGACAGGGAGGAAGAGTTCACCCTTGTCTTGGTCTAGCGATGATCCGAAGAGGTGGATCCTTGACTTGGCTTGGCGACGATTGCCCACTGAGCGGGGGAGAGTTGCTTTTCAATAGCATTTGAGAGGGTGAAGATGATGCGTTCGATGTATACCTCAACAATATCGTCTATATCCGGGTTGACGTCGAAGAAAGATGACCGGAGAATGTCGACGTTGCCTTGATCGTTGTAGACGAAGCCGGAGTCGCGTTCAGGATCGGCCATGCATGAAGTACAAGGTGTTGTAGATGTTGTACTTTGCTGTCCTTGGGCAGTTTCTTAGCAAACTTGGGGTTTTCCCAAGTAATTTAAGAAGGAAGAGCAGTAAGGGTGGCCGGCCAAGAAGGGTTTGGGGAGAATTGGGTTCAGATTTTGGTGGAGTTAGGGTCAAATTCGAGAGAGGATTTTGGAGGGAAAGGCTGGAATTAATTTCCAAATTGAAGTCTCTTGATTTGGAGAGAATTTAAAGGGCATATGAAAGAATAGAGGGGGCGGGTGGAGCAGAGGAGGATTTGGGATTTAATTCCAAAGAAAGAGGTGTGATTTTGGAAGGAAATAAAGGAGGTAGGGCCTTGGGAATTTCGGCCGAGAGAGAGAGGGAGAGAGTGAGGTGTCTAGATGCAATGTATGGGGGGAATTTGAATTAATTAAATAATCAATCTCAGATTTGAGATTTATGACTAAATACTAATTAATGGAACTTCCAAATTTAGACAACTTTAATTATGAAAGTTTTGAATTTTCAAATCCCTTTGAAATTTGAAAATCAAATACTTTCCAAATGAAGGCTAATCTATTTTAGGAAAGAGGAGATTTGGAGGACCGTAGAAGGGGCCTGGTGTGTGGTCGGCGACTTGGGTGAGTGGGATCGACCCTATGCCTTGGAGTGGTGGAGGTGGTGGGGTTAGCCGACAGTGGGGAGGGGTTTTAGGGTCGTTCGGCGAGCGGTTGGGTGGGGAACTTAGCCGAGGGATTGGAGGTGGGGGGAGGAGGATTTGGAGATTTGGCTGGCGGGTAGGGAGGTTTTGGCCGGCAATTTAAGAGGGGAGGGGAGACGAGGAAAAGAGGAACAAAGAACCACAAGCCTGGATGCCTCGTGCAGCTAGTGGGTGATCCAATTCCCTCACCTAGGGTTTCTCCACTACTCTCTCTCTCTCAAGACATAAGAGAAGAAACAAGAATCTGAAATTTTCATAATAATCTTCATTCCCCTCAAAAGAGAGACAAGTGGTTTATAAATAGCCTTACACCATGAATAAAACAAAAGATATATTTACCCCCCTAGGGCACACACATGACTAAACCCTTTAAGCAATGGTATAAAGGGAAAAATAAATAAAAACTCATAAAACATAAAAACTAATACAATAATAAAAAATAGATTGGTGTGATCGTGGCCGTCAATCGTCGTCCCCGTCTCTGGTAAACCCTCCAAGGTCGGATGTCCTCATCATTATCTTTACTTAAAATTTCAAAATAATTTATTATTGAAACAAATGCATCAAATGCCGATATTGGAGCTTTTTTGCTACATCACAATCATCCTATATATATTTTTTCGCATAAAAACTAAACAATCATCCACTTATTTGAAAGAATTATATGTTATCACCGAAGTTGTTTGTAAATGGAGCCAATGTTTATTAGGCATTTAGTTAATTATTCATACAGATCATAAAAATCTTCGTGATCTTAATATTATCTTCACAAACTATTAGGTTTTAATTTCTCCATAAAATATAAACTAGGTAAAACCGTAAAATAAATACTATTGTTGATTACTTATCTAGACGGTCAGAAGATCGGGTGTCTTTTCCTTCTTCCTTAATTTTGTTATCCACAATCACTAATTTTTCTTTTTACTTGATCAACGATTTAGAAAGAGAAGCATGTATATCTCCCAATATCCTTCAACTCACTTCTCAATTTACTAAAGGCAAACTCTCTCCTTTAAATTATCAAATTCGAGACAATATTCTTTATTTTCAACGCCGGATTTATTTTAGTAAGTCTTTTTCACTTAAAAAGCAAATACTCACTATATTTCATTCCACATCTCTTTGTAGCCATCAGGTCATTCTCAAAACTATTCAAAGAATCTTTGATAATATTTATTGTCTAGGATACATAAAAATGTTATTTATTTCGTTAACAAATGTTTATATATTACAAGTTTGGGAGGATTTATCTATAGATTTCATTATTGTCTTACCTAATTCAAAAGGGTACACCACCATTATAGTTGTAATTGATTGTTGCTAAATATGCTCATTTTGACCCCTTACCTTCAAACTATTCCGCCTCTCGAGTAGCTGAACTTTTTGCCAATATGATTGTTATTGCATGGCTTCCCTAAAATTATTATCTTCGACCAAGATGGCATTTTAAGTCATTTATGGCACCGTCTTTTTGCCTTAAGAGGCACCACACTTCATTATAGCATTGCATATCACCCTCACACTCACACGCACAACTAAACAGAGGTCCGCAATAGATGTTTAGAACAATATCTTCGTGCCTATACCGCCACCACTCCAAGATTATGACCTACATTTCTTTGTTGGGCTAAACTGCATTATAATACTTCTTTTCACACCGCTATTCAGATGATCGTATATCAAGCTATATATAGAAGATTACCAGCATCAATTCCATCATATTCGTGGTACCTCTAACATTGATGTTATAGATACTCTATTAACATACAGTGACAACTTTTTACATCATTTTCATCAAAATATCTATCTAACACAACATCGCATGAAATTATTGACCAATCGACATCATTGTGATTTAACATTATCCGTTGGCGACTTGGTCATGATCAAACTCCAACTTTTTAATGAAAATTCAGTAGTCAATCACACACATTCTAAGTTAGCCAAGCATTATTTTGGACATTTTTCCTGTTCAAGCTTATAAGCCCCACGGCCTACCAAGTTTCACTACCTCTCAAAAGCAAAATCCACCCAATTTTTCATATTTTTGTCCTCAAACCAATTAAAGGAGATCCTCCAATCACCACTAAACCTCTACATCATTTTAGGCTAAACAATCAACACTTCTTCCTTATGCAATACCAGCTTCTCGAACCATACAAATTCCATGGCCAACCTTACCACCGAGTTCTGTTACAATGGAAACTCACTATGCCGGATGATGTCACTTGGGAAAACCTTTCAGCTATTTCAGCTTCTTTTTCATTTCTTAGCCTTGAGGACAAGATTATTTTTCATGGCGACGGGAATGTTAAGCAATAATGTATTCTCTTAGATTCAATAACAATACAACAACAATGCCAATAATGATTGAACATTTCAAAACATCAGCATCAAGATGATAAAATACTTGAAGCCTATCATAAAAAGACAAAGCTCTCCATGGTTGGGAACACTTCAAACAATGGGCCTTCTACAACAAATCGAGGTTCAAGTTATTTCAGCATTAAACCAACCCCAAACCCATTTTAGTTATTTTACTTTAACTTGTATTGAACAAGTTGGTCTAACCCTCTTTTAAACCCAAAACCAATTCATATAAACCCTATAAATAGACTCCAAAGGCTGCAATTGAATTCAAGAAATAAAATTTATGCTTTTTATTTTCTATTTTCTTTGTCTTATCCACTTCTTCTTCAAGGAGTCCACGCATACTCAAAAGGTGCCTCAACTTCCTTGATGCAGTCAAGAAACATTTTAATCTCACGTTTCAATAAAAATCCCTGATCATTCATTATAATTTTCTTTTCGGATTATTACAATTGAACTGAAAAATACATTTCTTAAAATAAATAAACTTCATATCAGTGTTCAACAATGAACAAATATATTTCATATCAGCATTCAACAATATCAAAAAGTTGATTGGCAAGGCAACCATGAGAAATCTAAAAGTTCTCCCAAAAAATGGATGCCTCCTAAACCCTCAAATAATACAATAATCAATCAGTATGTATATTCCCTAAGGTGAGATGCACCGGCCGGTATGTTTTAATGAAGCTACCAAAGCCTAAAGAACAATAAGATTTATCAAAAGTAATTAATCTTTGTCATTCTTCAATAGTCTTTAATTTCCTCCTTACGGAGAAGTTGAAATCCTCACATAGTTAATGAATTAGTACAAGGAAAACATCCAGCAAATAAGCATCATAATATAACCCAAGACATGATGTGATTCAACTTTCCATAAATAGTCCAAGACGCAATTGCAACTTGAATAGTATTTCTCCGCAATCTTTCAGATTATTCTACTTCTGAAATGTTTAAATGGTCTCATCAATCCAAAATGTTATGAAAGATGTTGGCAATATCGCCAACATGTTCCTTTTTTAAATTTAATTAACGAATATATGAAAGTATGATCTGTATGTTCGTATCCATAACTTTTTAAAACTTAACTAATAATCTTAAAAACATATTGGCATCAAAAGAAAATGCAAGAATGATTTTCTAGAGATGATGAACAATGAGGAAAACAGTAGCAGAAGAGATCCCGATCATACTTACTTTACAATCAAATGGTGATAATCGTTTGAAAAAGCAGTGAGCTTGACTAAAACTTTTTTTTCCCTGCCGTCCAAAAAATAGAACAATGAAAAACAAAACAATTTCAGGAGTAAGTCAGGTAAGAGAATTCCCCTAAAAGATTTCATCATTAACTGGCCACCACATATAAATGCTCAAGAATTTTCATTTCTTTTGGGATAGTAAAATTGCTTCTCTTATCTTCATGTTCTCTAGCATTAGCCACTCATTCAGCAAAAATTTTAATTCCAAAGCTCCTTCCTTCCTCTTGCTGGAGATTATATATCTTGTCATTCATTCCTTCTTTTCTATATGTCTCAACCAAAATTGAATATGTAGTTGAATCTGGCATATAATGTCTTTCCTTCATATACTTGAAAACCCTCTCCATTTCCGTCAGATCCCCAGCTTTTGAACATGCATATATCACTGCATTATAAAAAGAGGTATTGTGTGGGATCTCAAACCTCTCAGCCAGCTTAATGCAACTTACCACCTTATGAAAGAGACCTGAATTGCCATAGCCAGTGATCAGGTAGCGAAATGTGTTAGTATCTGCTTTCATCCCCTCTGCCCGCATTTGATCGAAAGCATATTCCATACTTTTGGCATCACCAACAGAAGCAAAGACTTCAATGATGTTGTTATAAGTTGAGGTGGTCCATGGAAATGCCAGTTTCCGCATGTATTCCATAACCGAAGTCATTTTATCATACATCCTTTTCCTTCCATAGGCACTGATCAGAATGTTAAATGTTCGTGTTTCGGGCTCAATGCCAATGCTGCGAAACTTTTCATACCATTTCTCCATCATATCTATTTCACCCTTCGTGCTAAATAAACCCAAAATAATATTCATGGTCCACACATCTGGCTTGCATGTATCACTCTCTAGCATAGCAGTAAGAACTTTCTCCATCTCATTGAATTTTCCAGCTTTCCCATAACCTCCGAGGACAATATTCTGGGTCACTGTGTTAGGAACTACCATACGTTCACGCATGTCCTGATACAAGGTATCAATCAGCTCAAATCTGGATGCTTCGACACAAGCTTTCAGGAGTGTACTATATGTGAAGACATCTGGCTGGCAAAGAGGTAAGGTTTTCATTTTAGTGAGGATTGAAAAAGCTTTATCGAGAATGTTGCATCGACAATAGGCTGCTAGCAAAGCAGTGTACAAGGCCGAAGTAGGTTCAATTCCTTCTTCCACCATGGTCTCAAATAGTTCACCCGCACGGACAGCTTGACCTGATTTTCCAAGAAGAACTAAGAGTTTCATAAAAGTTCCTTCTTTTGGGCGATAAAAGGTTTGAGCTCTTAACATCTCGAATACCTAATTATAATTCAAGACAAAATAAAAATGTAAATTAAGAAATGTAGGCTGAAAAAAATTCTACAATATTGAGTAAATACAAGACAAAATAAAAAATTATAATTTTCTTCAACTTCGTTTTAGCTGTGTTTTAGACGAGGACTAACAATGTTCAGCCTAAAATCTTTCAGTTAAAAAAACGTTAAGTATTGCCAATAAACGTCACCAAAGCATGGCTGAGAGTATTCCAACATCTAGAACGAAATAAATAAGCTTAAAAAAAGGAATTGTAAACTTGATCAAATAGAATTTTGATGCGCTTGGATAATTTGCATGTTGGAAAAGTCGCCAAAATTTTTTAAGTAATTGTCTAAAGAAATTATATAATTGGCCCATGCATTCAAGCAAAGATCAACATTTTTTTCTTTATGTTATGTTCCCTCTTTGTTTCTACAGGCTCCATTCCAGGACAACCAAAGCATATGACATGAGTGGGAGCAGAAGATGCATAGTTGCCTCAACAATAATCTTTAAAAGAGAGAAGTAAAGCATAGTCAGAAATCACAATGATTTCTGATGCTCAGATGACCTAGTGTTATTGATTAATTAAAATTTAGATCAGTAATCTTGTATTAAACGTGACATACTTGGCCTTTATTTTAGTAATATTGTGATGTTGTGTTGTTTGGCATGAAATAAAGTTGACACTTCCAAGGATATGCACAATTAACTCTACAAATGTGTTTTCCATGATTGTGTACACATTACAGATGTGCATGCACAATACAGCCATTGCATGTTTCCCACACAAACTGTTTACAATGTGACTTGGGATCTAGGATTCATAATGCAATTAGAAGATGTAATGTATCAAAATACGCACTTTTAATTGGAAATACGCAGTTCAAAAGACCATTTGATTAAATAATCAGATATTAATTTCTGATGCAATCAAGAAAATTTAAAAAAAAAAAACGTGCCAAATAAAAATCAAGCGAGAAATTGTACCCTTCAAAAATCACAATTAAATTAAGATTTATACTAAAAAAATAGAAAAACAATTGAAACAAATTTGACAAAATTAATCAATTGCAACAATAAGAATTAATTACTTAGAACAAAAGACAATAAGAATTCAAGTAAAAGAATAATACAAACCTCATGTCAGTACAAAACTACAAATAAAACAAACTCCTCTGAAAATTCAAAGACACTTTTGCACAATGCTCAACAAAATCAACACCCAACAAAGCACTCAAGTTTGAAAAAAAAAAAATCAAATTTTTCATCAAGAAAAAAGATCATTTTTTACTTGCGATAGAATGTCTATTTATCAACATCAAAATTCTCACAATTAACAGTAATGTCGTCTTCTCAAACAAACTCATTTAAAAGCACATGAACAAACAACGATCCTACTGATGTCTGGACAATTTATATTCTAGGGCTCACTAATACAACCTGGGATGATATGTACAAGAAAAGACAATTCCTATATTACAAAATCTCAATTTTGATAAACAAATCAGTCACTTTTGCTACCAAATCAGAAAACATGTTTATTGCATTCCAAACAACAATTTAATAGTAGTCAAAGTCTAGAATTTCATAAGAATAATGAGCAAATATAAAATTTCAGCTATGATTAAGATTTACACTGAAAAGAAATTCAACACATCATACTCAATAAAACTTCAATCGTAAACACACAACAGGCACTAAACAAATTAACAGTAAGAACAAGGGCAAAATTACTAACAAAATTTTGGCTTCATGTTGGCACAAGGAGACATACCCATCAACAAAGCGCTCGCAAAATACACATGCCACAGTACACAAATATTAAAAAAATCTAAAATTTTATTTAAATATTAAATGAATATTACAAACCTCAATATATATAGCCCAAAAAACCCAAATACAATAATTATAGGAAATGAATGCAATTTCCTAAAAATCAGCTAATGAGAATAAAAAATTAGAAAGAAAAACACATCAAGATTATTTTTATTACAAGATATATGAAAGAAAATAGTAAGAAACAATTGGATCTTCAATTGGAGAGGAAGATTCGGCGCTCCCAAATCCCTAGCCACCGGCTAGAGCCCAAATAACTTAAGAATAAACTAAATTCAACAAACTCCAAACACATAATCTGAAATCACCCAATGTTAGCCTTAAATAGGCTCCCTAATTCCCTCCAAAATCAGCCCCCTTTCCCTAAATAATTCCCTTTCATATTTGAATTCAAATTAGATTTATTTCCCTAATTAATTCCCTCCCAATTATAATTAAAACTTTCCTAAACAATCCCCCCTTAATTCCTCCTCCTTTTCCCTAAATAATTCCCTCTTAGATTTTGAATTCAAATTAGATCTCTTGTTTAAATAATTCTCTCCCAATTGTAATTTAAACATTCCTAAATAATTCCTCTTTGATTAAGAACCTTCATAAACAGCTCCCTCTTGATTAGGAAATTACCTTATTCCCTCCCAATCAAATCGGCCGGTCCATCAAATAACTATTCATAATCCATTAGGATTGAATCAAATACAAGTTTAATGAAGTTCAACAAATAGGAATCTCAACTCCAACAAATGGGACAAAATCATTTGTGTTATTATATCATGTTGGAGGAGTCAAAGATAAAGGTGCAATAGGAAAATAAAGACGTAATAGGGAAGCAACCAAAATAGAAAAATCGTTGATGCTACAGCCTCAAAAATAATATGGTTGCTAAATGAAGTTTGTCACGAGTAGGAATATCTAAGATGTTGATATCCGCAAATCCCAGCATACCCTAGGTTGGGAAGGGTCTCTTGTTCAGGCTCATCATATGTTGTTATGGGCAAAGATGTTGATATGTGTACCTACTTCATTGTAGCTACCATGATCATAGTTGTCCCCACATAATCAAAATCTTTACTTGGATCGCTACCATCTCAGGTGATTCAATACAATACAAAACACCCACACTATTTGTTGCAGGGATCATCTTTTTGTTCACCATAGGAGGGCTCACTAGAATAGTTCTAGCGAATTCTGGGGCATTGCTTTACATGATCCAAAATACTTGCAAATAGAATGAAATATGTGATGCACAAACTTGTCAGTTTTTATCCCAACAAGATATATTGATGAAAATCTACTTCATGCTCATGAACTTCTTAAGAAAAGTTGAAATATTTAAGAGGGAGGCCTGCGTTCAAGTTAATATTTAGCACGAGGATTGACTAGTTTTTATAAACTCATGTATTAAAATAGGTCAATCATGAACAAGACATTGTTTAATCATGTTTGGCTCAAAAGTAGTTTGATTATTTTTATATATAAATAAAAATATGCATGTGTGTATGTATTCCTTATTTTTTAATGAATTTATGTGTGTGTGTGTGTATATATATATATAGTGAAATGAATATTAACAGTGATTCGTCAGGAAGAGCAGCTGAAAGCAGTCGCTGAGTAGCAGGGGAAGGATGACCAAGTCTTTGATGCCAAAACTTGGAGGTGGAAACTAAGTTGAGGTTGTCACTGCAATGTGGTGAAGACCGTTGAGGGAGTGGAGGTGTGAAGTTTAAAAGCATATAATCCTTGAAGACTAGGAGCTTGAAGGATAATCTTATTCATCTTGGAATCTTGATGGTAACCACGAGCATCAAAGAGAACGAAACAAGGAATATTAGCAGGGATTCGTGAACAAAGAGTAAATTATGAGAAAGATGGAGAACATGCAAGACATGAGTTAAGTGAAACATACGAGTGGGAGTGGGAAAATGCCCTAACCATAATGAGTTAGGAGAAGCTTGTGCCCATTGCCAACCTGAACTTGAGCTATGCTGGAATATGGTTGCAACAACTGAATTTGAAATGCATCAGAGGTAAGGTGGGTGCAAGTATATGAATCCAAGAACCAATCAGTAGAGGAAGTAGTTTCCTGGGTAATCTAGGCTTACGGTTTGAAGTTCAAATAGGAAAGATGAGTCCTATACCAGCATTTGACAATAGTATGACCTGGCTTGCCACAAATTTGACATTCAAAGAGAGTACTCCAACCACCATAAGCAAGAGATGAAACTGAGCAACCTTCACGAATGAGAGTAGGTGGTCTGCCACCAATAGAAGAACCATGCCCACGAGACTAACCGTAAATGGGAGTAAGAGAAAACATAGGATCATGCAAGGCATTAGATTTATCATGAGTGTGATCATCAATAATATTGAGTTCCTCACTACAGAGTAAAACATATAGATCATCTAAACTGATAGGGGGTGCAGTTTAGTGTGAATGGTTGCCTTGAAAGCATTGTACGAAGAAGGTAACCCATTTAGAGTATAAAGATAATGTCTTCTAGATTAATGGTAAAATCAACACCAACAATAGCATCAAGTTTTTGCTTAATATCAGAAAAATATTGCACCATGGTTATGAAGCAAGTGGGATTCATTTTCTAATTGAAGGATGCGAGAACAATTTATAGATTGTAAGCGACAGTCAATAGTGAGACAAATATCGTGACAAGTATCTAGATTGAGGACATAGGAAAGCAAAGAAGGGGAAATCGTAGAATACAGAGCCGCAGCTAAATTTTGATAAATAAACATCCATGATTAAAATTGAGGATTAATAGTGATAAAACTATCGGCAAGGATTTGTTGTTTTGGTGTTGTAAAGAACATCAAGATACCCCTAAAACCCATTAGCACTACATAGTAACAAAATCTGAGACCGCCAAAGGGGATGATTATCAGTGGTTAATTGAATATTAATCACTGATTTTACTTTTTTCATAAGGAATTTGAGTTTGGGATGCGTATATCACTCTTTTAATTGGAACTGATTGGAAAGAAAAAAAGGTAAAATCAACCGACTGATTCATTGCAGAATAGTTCAATTAAAACAAACAGAATTCTAGAAAATGGAAGAAAGAATAAAGTAGCAGGAACCGTGGTACAGCTCTGATTGCATGATATAACTGTATGTAACTATCATAAAGTAGCAAAACTAAGTTATGAATTTCAGCAAAAGACCCAGTACCTTGTATAGCAATATATATATATATATATATATATATATCAACTATATAGGATAGTTAATTATTCAGCAACGGTGCAGATTGCAGTTGATAAGTACAGTAACGATGAGGATGAATTTTTTTGAAAAGTATGGCCTACCTAAGTAGGTGGAGCTGAGCACTTTTATCATAGCCTTTTTGAAAACTTATTAAATACTTAGCTATTATCTGTCCAAAGTTTAACAAGCATAACTTATAGAGATGTACCCATGATTGAATTCCATGTGGCGAGTCTGCCACCAGTTTCATCCAAGGGTGGAACCAGGAAGAGCTCAGGGTGACAATTATTCACCCTGGTTTTTTATTCTTTTTGTCTTAGAAAATAAGCATTTTAATTATTTTGACCACTTTCAATAAATACATTTGCCCAAATTCTAATAAAATTTTTTTCTGATTTCACCAACACATACCCCAAAAAAACAGCAACGTCAAATAACTCTTGTCCATGAGGAATAACGAACAATGAAGATCTAGGAAAACCAAAATCTACTAACAGGCAAGCATTCGAACAGTTGAAGAATCAAAAAGCAAAGCGTTACGCAGAGTTCCCAAAAACGGTATAAAGCGAGCTGTATGACAAACCTCAAGTGCCTCCTGCCACTGCTTCTTCTGGATCCTATCGGAAAGAGCCTCCGTAACCGTGCAAGCCCAAGCCTTAGCCGCCGCCCGGTCGTCGATCTTCTTTTTTACGTTTTTAATAGGCGTCCGAGAGGATCCCGCAATTGAACTCTCCGAGACCCCCGGGAACTCCCCTTCTTTCCAGTGCCGCTTCTTGGTCGGCGAAGGAGGCTCGTTCGCCGCCGGAGCCTTCTTTGGCGCAGAGGTTACGCCGGGCGGAGAGGATGACGAGCTCGAAGATTTCCTCTTGGGCCGAGAACGTACAGCGCAGAGACAACCCCTCAAAGTAGGCACCTCAGCTACTTTGCCATCTTTCCATTGATACGGAAGAAACGATGCCGACAGTGAGATAAACGAAGCACTGGCCATTGTTGAGGGCTGAGCAGAGCGAGCGAGGGTTTTGATAGTTTGCTGAAATTTCGCGGGACGGTAAAAAGTCGTCGCAAACGAATGGCGAGTTCGGACGGGAAGATATATATTTCTTCTTCTTCACCGTATTCCACAAGGAATAAAATGGAATTATTTTATGCGAATATCCAATTGTTATGAGATAGTAGGGGTGTAAACACGTGTCGAGTCGAGTTTATATTCTTATCTAGCTCGGCTTGTTACATGAAAAGCGAGCTAGAACTCGAGCTCTAGCTCGTCTAACTGTAAACGAGCTCGAGAAAAAAAAAAAAAAAAAAAAAGAGTTATTGGGAACGTGATTTGAAGAACCAAACAGTAAAGAAGAAATAAATTTATCGTTTTAAAATGGAATAAGCACCAAAAACTTCCAATCAAACGAAGCCTAAATTATAACACCTGATTTATATCAGGTATATAGTCGTGCTACACAGTAAAAAAGTGACATGATATGCCTAGATTTGACTCGCAGAATAATTAGTTCATATTTCAAGCTCGTATCACAAGAATATTATTTTTTCCCACTACTCATTTTTCAATTTGTCTGAATTTAAACTATAATGCCTCTTCCCTAAAATCTAATGATATTTTCATGATTATATCAAGTGGTGCCAATAAATAATCTCATCCATTCATCAAAGTCTAATTATATTTTTCAAGTTCAAAATTCTATCTTATTTATTAAAATGGCCAGTTTCGAAAAGACCCATTAACTAAATTTTGATCTGAAAGTGACTCATTCAATATTTTGTTTCTTAAATTATTTTTATTGATATCATTTTAATGTTTTTAGTTATCCTAAACACAAAAATTAAAAAATTATAAAAAAAAAAAAAACTTAATCAAAACAGGATGTCGAGTCGGGTTTAGGTCCACCTTCTCAACTATGTTTATTAAATGGGTTAGATTTAGACTGATTGAATTTGCATCAAGTCAATTTTAGATCTGACCTGAACACGACCCATTAACCCGTTTTGACATGCCTAACTTATATTATGATTTAAGTATTAAAATTTCATATAAATAAATATCTTCATATTGTTATTCAAGTTTTGGGCTTATTGTATGTATTTTCATCATCTATTTATTTAGCTACTCATTTATTGAAATTTTTCCTTAAGAAATTTATGCACTACAAATTTATATTAAGTGAATTAATTTATGATAAATTCCTCCCTTATGATTGCTCAGTGTTATACAATGGTTGGGAAATTATCTTATTTCAGATAATCATATGTAACATCTTAAATTAGTATAATAGTCAATAAATTAGATTATTTAACAAAATAATGTAATATTGACTTCATAAAAATGTCTATGTGACATTAAAAATTTATTATACATGCTCTCATGAATTTACATTTTATTTGCAAAATCATTTAGTGCATTTTTTTTATTTTTGCTTGACCATTTATTAAAATTGTTCTGCTAATAATATATAAATGTCATGATATTTTAATATTTCATTATGAAATTAACAGAAAATACAATATTATTATTTAATCTTATATAACAGTTGAGAGTTTAATAATGTTATGCAAATTTCATATAGATCTCTGCCAGATTCCTTATTTTGTCTTCAATTTTAAAGAAAAATGTATTAATGAATTTATATTTTATCTAACAAAATTAATGTATGCATTTTCAAAAATTTTGATTGGCCTTATATGAAAATTATGTCATGTTAAAAAGTTTATCAACAAGCTACCTAACAAATCACCTTATACAACAAAATTACTATGATTTAGGCTTCATTTGGGACAATTTTCTTGTTGCTTATTAAAGCAATTTTCTAATATAAAACTTTAAATTTTTATACTAAAAAGTTGTTTTAAAAAGCATTAAGAAAGCCGTCCCAAAGCCGTTTGAGACAGCTTTTTTATTGCTTTCTAAAAACAACTTTTTAGTACAAAACTTTATAATTCAAGAAATTTCTATACTAAAAAATCACTTTAAAAAGCAGAAATCAAACCATCCCAAACGAAACCATAATTTAACAAAATGGATGGAAAAATTATTAGGTGCGGAGTGTGCACCGTCCGCACAAATATGGGTACCTAGCGGTACCGAGTGCCGATACCTAATGCAGAATAAGGCTTGTGCGGACGGTTCTCCCGTCCGCACTGCCAATATTGGATCATCAAAAAGTACTAAATTACAACTTTGATATGGACATAAGTCAGTCCCAGCCAGGGTCTTAACAACAACTTCCAAGATCTTTACAACTAAGCTAATTGACACCTCCAATATAATCTCATAATCAAAAGAATATAAGAATATATTGCTAACTCGAAATGACCACTATACCCCCCAACTCAATACTAATCTGCAACAAAACCGTTCGAGCCGAACACTAAACTCCTCACATATATCCATACTCTAATAACTCCCACCTGAACGGAGGGTAGACAAAAAGAACTTCTGGAGGTCCTTTGAATATAAGAGCCACACAAACGCAAACTGCAGCAATGCCCACCATAGAAAGCAGCATTGGCCGATACAATAAAGAGCTTCCCACTGAGCTGCGGTAAGCCATAGGGCGTTCACATAGCTTACAGGATTTTGATTTGCTCTTGTCGATCTCAAGGGAAGATAGTTTCTCAGACTTGAATTTTCCAGATGGTTTATAAGGCATGTTGACGGCCACATCAGTTTTTTCTGTGAGCTTTTTGAGTTTTGTCTGCATCAGTGTTAGGTAAGATTCATGGCCGCGGGCGAATGCGTAGTCTTCGGGAGTGAAGCCGGTGCTGTCACGGGCGGTCTTCCATGCTTTGACTCCAAACTAGAATAAGGTGAACGGCAACGATCAGAAATGAGTTGAAGATGGTGTGAAGTATGATTTCGAAGTAGAGGAATTCTTGCTTGAATGTTTTTAAAATAATTGAAATGCATGTAAATACACAAATTATTTGATTGGATGCAAATCAAATATTTCTGTGTTGTTATTATATGTTTTGGCAGAATTTAAGTTGGATGGTTGAAGCGGAGGAATGCATCGGGGTTGTTGTGTGATAGAAAGGTGCCCCTCAAATTTAAGGGAATTTTTTATAAGATGGTGGTGAGACCTACAATGCTTTATGGTGCCGAATGTTGGATATTAAATGAGAAGCATAATACTAAGTTAAGTGTTGTAGAGATGAGATGCTCGGTGGATGAGTGGCTTTACCCTTAGACATAGGATATGAAATGAGGATATACGTGAAAAGGTTGGAGTAACTCTATTGGAAGATAAAATTAGAGAGTCGCCTTAGATGGTTTGGTCACATAAAACTGCAGCCTTTCAAGGAAAGTAGAGGTATTAAATTTGACTTATGTTAGAAAAGATAGAGGTGGACCTAAAAAAATTTGGTTAGAAAATATTATACATGATCTTTCTTTATTAGATGTAAACGATAACTAAACTTTAACGGGACACAATGGAGAAAAAGGATTCATGTAGCCAACCCCACATGGTGGGACAAAGGCTTGATGTTATTGTTGTTCTTATATTATATATTTCAAATGCATTAAAATGTTGCCGGTTGTGGATGGGAACTATGAGCAATTGCAACGTAGGATTTAAAATTGGCTGATTTGAGCAATTTCTAAATGTGGGAAAAATAAGAGTTTTGGGGCAACTTCAAGATCTTACTTTGTATGTTTTTTTTTTTACTTCAAACCAAGCACCATGACATAATTAGAATATTGGAAAAAATAATGCAATACTAATTGAAATCCTATCAGTGAGGTGAGGGTGTTATTTTCAATAATGGGTAAATAAACTGTAAAGATGGAAAGGAATAGAAAAATATACCTGTCCTGGATCATCGGTTAGTAAATCCAACATGCTTTCTGCATAAATACTACTGGCTGCAACATGAAGTGGCGTTATATTGGAGGGACCAGGCATGTCCGGTCTAAATAAGTTCTCAATGGCCCTATCTGAATTTTTGCAAGGTCTGTATCTCAATAAGAGCTTTACTGTTAACTTAGAGTTTCTTTGAACAGCATAGTGGAGCAGATTTTCTGACAAAGCAATCTTAGTAGGAGAAACCCCTTCTAAATCTATGATTCCGTCGAACAAAAAGTCTAGGAGCTTTTTGACAATAGCAGACCAGTCACGATCCATTGAAAATCTCAAAATCCATCTGAAACGTGGAAGGGAAAAAACTTCTGAGCAATGATTCTCGGATTCTGATCTAGACCTTAACTGACTCCTCCGAAGTAGCCATCCCATCTCATGTAAAAAATTCAGACCCAGATTTCTTACGGCCACTAATTTTTCCTCCAAAACTTCATCACAAGAGGCAACATCCATTGAACTCTCTAGCATTCTTATCTCAGTACATATATCTTCTTCTGCGACTATGAAGGGGAAGAACCCACTGCTTAGACCAGCATCTTCAACCTGCAAATGATCAAAAAATGAAATAAAAGTTCACTAGAAACAAAAAATAATAAGGGGAAGTATCTAACCTCAATAAATCCTCGCCCGATTGCATCAGAAAGGTAACAAGAAAAGCTAAGAGATTGGAATTGTTCATGTCTGCTTCCATTGTTAGAACAGTTGACAGAATGTTTGTCCATCTCTTGGATGAGATATCTCCCTTCAAATGCACAGAATAATCTGAGAATGTCACAAACAGTAAGGAACAATAAAAGGAAAGAGAAAGACTAGAAAGATAAGCAATGAAGGACTAATGAAGGTTCTGAGAATAAAAGTCATTAAACAAAAATGGGGTAATAACCTTGTGGTAGGTCGAACAAGATTAGAACCTTTGACTTTAAAGGTAACCCTTGAAGAAGGAGGAGCTGCAATGGGTGTGACACTAAGAATCTTACAGTAACTAGTTCTCTCCACGACCAAAGTCTTGTTCAACACAACCTGACCTACAGTAGTTAAGCCAATCATAACCATCTGCATCATTTTCCATTGATATTTAGAAGATAAAGAAACTCTAAGGCTTCGTTTGAGATGGCTTATTGCTTCTTAAAACAGCTTTCTAGTAAAAAAAATAATTTTTATACTAAAAAAACTGTTTTAAGAAACATTAAGAAAGCCGTCCCAAACGAAGCCTAAGTGAGAAATGAGCTTTCTACTATCAAAGAAATCATCACACCGTTGTATATTAATGCTACGTGATGTTGCAGCCTAGCATACACCCATCCCGTTTGCCAAAAATTATCAGCTGATAGACAAAGTAGCCTATTCAGGCTAGAACCAAGATCATGACACAGCTGCATACGAAGTGAAATCAGAATAACTCAGCAAGACAAGCTTAATTATTAATAACTCGAACCATTCAATACAAACTACATGCCTCATCCCATGCAGACAAGCTAAGACGAAGATAAACTGTAAGAATGATGCATCCAGGTCTGATATAACTCTCCATATCCGTAGGACTATGAGATAACCAGTCAACAATCTGTAATTCAAATACAACAAAGAATTTGAAAAATATTGGCCTCAAGCACTATATGAACTTCAATTATCTACCATCACATATTATGATGACAATATAGATCAAAATTATCCATTACCTGTGCTCGCAAAGCAAGAGGAAAATCATTAGGGTGTTTTCCGAATAGTTTGAACACAATTCTGTCTGTACGGCTCTGAAAAAGAAAGAATTGAAGATTCACCAGGCATTAATGAATGATGAAGTTTCGGAACAGAAGGTAATACAACATTTAACAAACTCAAAATATATATATATATAAAGTTTTGACTAGTAACTTGGAGAGTTGGAGTAGACACAGCTCAGATTTAAAGCATAATATAAAACAAGCACATGATGCTCATAAGTTACAAATGTAGATTTGGTAATGAAGATTTCTTGGTGTGAGAGAAGAAAAAAATCATTGGGTAAAGCATCACCAGTAGTTCAGTACCCTATCCCTACTTGTTTAGGTAAGCTTTATTGATCCTTCTATAAAACTTTCTTCTGAAATAAGTAGCATTTGATAGGATTCTAGCTTATATAAAACACTTTTGAACAGCTTCTAATTATGTTAACTTTGAACAATCACTATTCTCTACAATCAGTTAACATTTATTATATCCCAAAAATCTCACTTATTGTACTGTAAAATCCCCTATTTTAGGTCAACATTATATTTGCTAATGAAAATTTTATTCTAACATCTTGACAAGGGATAGCACAACGTAAAAGTAAAGTGCCTCAAAATAATGACTTGCTTCACAGTTGGTTCTAATCAATATGCTGCTTTTTTAGGTCTAGAAAAAAATACCATTACACGTGCCATAGCTGTAGCATATCAACTAAATTGACAAAGATGGCAAGTTAGTAACATAAATTGACAAAAGATTAATATTGCTTAGGATGCTAGATAAGCTCGGGAGAAGAAACAAAAGTAAAACTGTGCAAACTTGTGGAGGACCGTGATGCAAATATCAAAATCTACAGCAGTTGAAACTGTAGAATGTGTGTTGAAATGAACATAAAAAATAATGATAAATATTGAAAGCTAAGAACTCATGAACTGCAAATTTTACATAATTTCTTACCTTTCGAATTAAATATACATTAAAAATCATATAACCCATCTTCTTCAACAGTAGTTCTTGTTAGAAGTTAATAATTCTGCAATTGCAGTCATAAATGTCAAACCAGCAAAATATGAATAGTTTTCATTTGCCATAGTTTCATCTGATCATTCATTTAACATTCCACCATGGAAAGCTTTCTTGAAAATCACATGGCTCTTCTTAATGCCTTCCTATTAGGGTATCATATTTAAGTGACACTAGATGTTTTGTAATTTTGATAATAATAAAGAAATATTTAAAAATTAGCATGCCTGGCAACCGTAGTTCTAGTTGTCAAAGAAAAAGATTTTGCTAAGCTAAAATCATATCACCTTTCTGAATCATCATTCTCGATTTATCATTTTCACTAAATATATAATTAAAAAAACTAAAGAAAAGAAGCCCAACGGTAGCTTAAATAATAAGATAAAACAGCTATTGCTGAGGTTGACTGTTGCTATTAGGCCATCAACAAATTGTAAACCTACACTAACCGGTTAAAAAATACAAAAAATTCAATTGGAATTAAGAAAATCCAAAAGCTATGATACCAACACCATGATGGAGAAAGAAAGCCAAGATAGGGGGCTGCAAAGACGTCTGCTTCGGATCTTCTACTCTTCAGTTTTTAAATATTTTTGGACGAGAATTTATTGTGTTTGAGCATGCATGATATATTAAAATGTGTACCAGCTATGTTTAGGTGCTAGAAGATTCTCACATGTTAGAGTCTGCTTCTAATCAACTTTAGAGGAAAGATATGGACACATGGCAATTTGGTTCAGTTACAAAGTAACTTTCTTTTGACAAGAGAAAATGCATGCAAAGATAGAAATAATTAAATAATGAATTCAAACGAATAATAAAAAAATTTTGTACGCCTTCAAGGCAATAATTAGATCTGATTTTAGCAGTTAGAAAACCATATTTTCAAAAATATACTTTCATGAAATTATTATATATAAAAGTACTTAAGGGATTTATGACTTGACTCTTATTGGAAATTCTTGTTTTTAGGCTTCATTTAAGCAAAACATAAACCATTAAGTAAAAATAGCCCGAACGTTCATAATAATTGATATAATACACAAAATAATTTACTAATCGCAAACATTAAATTACTTTTTGTTATACATATTTTATCATTTAAAGTTGAACTTGTGATTGTGATTCATTATTAGCTTGAATTTTAATCAGATGGCTAAAATTTTTACTGTTATTACATTTTTCCGTTAAGAACTTCTTCAATTTATAATTATATGTGTAGTCATGATTAATTATTAGCCTGAATTTAAATAGACTTTTTTTTTTTTTTGCTTTTTTAGAAATTTCAGTATTGATCTTTTCAAATAAATGGTTAGATCGGATGAAGGATTTTTATTGTGTGGATCAAAATTGAAAACTGAATGGCTAAAATCTTGTATTGGTGGCATTTCAAGTGAAAATTTAATGGCTAAGGTGTAAAAATAGAGTTATGTAATATCAGCATCTTTGAGGAAATACTAGGAAACACGACAATAAAATGAGAAGATAAAACATATGTAAGAGATAAAAAGAAAAGGGAAGAGCAAATTTTCTTGGATATAACTAGTCAAGAAAGATCTGTTAGAGCTAACACAACGTTCTACTATCTAAAGATACAAATGGACAAAGCATACAAAAGCCAAACCAAAGAAATCACATATAAGTTCAACTAGATTTGAGCATGGTAAGATGGTTAACTCATTGATTTTGATTTGAGTTCAACTGAAGTTAAACGGCCATCCAATTTTTAAACAATCTTCAAGCTAGATTAACAACCTTAGAAATCACATATAAATCACGTGAATCATATGTTCATTTCATCACACTTTCAGCCTTTAAACATATCTTTTGAATGTTAACAAATAGCTTAAAATCATTTAAATTAAAGCATGCAAACATTTGATGAACCACAATTGGAATGTCGAAGCAGGTCATATGAATTATAATAAGATGACTGCATAAAAATTTGAGGGCTAGGTCATGACTCACCTAATATAAACAAGTCAGCTATTTACGTTCAAACCATGAATTATGAAAGTTAATTCTAAAAAAAAGTTACTAGTTAAAACAAGGATATCCCTGCAGAAATTCCTAGTAAGAAGATATAATATTTGAACCCCATTTATTTATAAACCAATTCAACTTCATCTATTATATCATATCTTAGCATCACGTACAATGCATCTATATAAATGATTTTATACCCATTACATAAACGAGATACATAACCAAAAAAAGCTCTCAACATATCATGCAACAAGATGCAATCTGATGCAACAATGAAAAAAACTCGCATATAATAAACTTCAAAGTGACCATGACCTTAAACCACAACCCTCAACAACCTCAGAAGCATCCTATATTGTGCTGTGAAACAAAAACGCAGTTTTAAAGATGAAAGCAGGTCTTATCAAGTTTTAAACATAACCCAAACTCTCGGGTGACAAAAAATTTGTTTACAGCATTTCATTGAAGATATGACATTTCTTTTACAAAATTGATGCATGGTCATGCACAATCAAATGACGAAACTTAAATGTTGATACAAATGCGCATAAAGATTTTTGAATTAAATGAGTACATCAAAAGGTGTACCTGAGCATCCCCATTTGAACTTGAAGGTGATCGGGTTGATGTTGATTCTGTATTCCCACTTATTTGGGGTGGGCATAACTGGTGACAATTTTTAACCATCCATGGAGGACAACCAGAAGAACCGATCACAAGAGTTGCTTGTTTTGCTAATCTCTCACATCCTAATTCACCATCATGTTCATCAACAAATGTAGCATTTAAGTCAAATCCCTTTGTCCTTTCACCCTCAACGTTATATGCACCAGGTAGCATGTGCTGCAATGGGGATAAAGTATTATGCTGAAAATTCATCTCTCTTGAAGCAGCAGAAACTGATACATAACTATTAGTAGCCATGGTCGGAGCACATTTTGTTTTGGCAGGTGAACATGATTGCTTGAGATTCTCTGTCAGAGGGACAACACCTGAAAGTCGAGCATCAGTAGCCTGTCCTGATATCCTAGCAGATGTCCCAACTTTCTGAAGATCATGAGATGCTTGGAGACTAGAACTCTTATTTGCATCAGATGAACTAGCCAAAGAGGCAATATTTCTCAAAAGGTTCCACAATAGCTCACTATCTTTTGACAGTTGAGATTTATCAGCTGAAATGACCATAAAAATCATGAATGAAAGTTCCAGAATAGCATGTTAATCAAACAGCTTTTTGTCAAGATGATGAAGAAATATAATCAAACCATCAAGCACATGGCAAAAAATACAGATGTTAGGATTCACATAAGACAAACAATAATGATTTTGTTAGAAACGAGTAAAGCATCCACTTAGGGGCAGGCAATAAAGTGACTACCTTCCATTGATTGGAGAGATGGATTTTAATACTTTAAAATTGAAACATGAGATGATTGTGATGATGATAACATCACATGGAGTGAAGTGGAAAGGGCTTGAATTATAGAAAGAAATATGTGCATTAGGACATAAGTAAGATCATCTGTTGGAGCTTCAAATTCAAGAATAATAATAAATCTCGACGATGAAAAGTGTGGGCTGAAGATGAAACTAGTAGTAAAGTTTATATTTTTGGAAAATCACTTGAGTTCCCACTAGTGCACCTAGATTTCCACCTCAACAACCTCTCAATCTAGAATATCATACCAGCTGGCTCTCACTACCCCTCTTCACTTTGATACTACCCCAGCTGGTTGATGGTAGCCATTCCACCGAGCCCACAACTACTAGAAGCCTGCCACCTTATCCTCTTCATTCACCTTATTGATCTCTGGGATCATTGCTCTGGCATCGTCAATCCATAAGATGTCCTATTTTACTTAATGTTGTAGCTAATTTTCAATCACTTATTTTGTATGATTCCTAATAATTGTTCTCCTAGAATGGCATTAATATTGAGCAGATAATGAAATGAAGAACCCAACCAATTCTCTTCAATTCCTATCAAGACAACCCTTAGCAGAATTTGTTACATAAGTAATTTAGCCATCCAAACAATTTAAACATGTATTTTGGATAATTTTCAAGTTACAAAGATAGGTTTTGCAAGTTTGAATCCAAAAACAAAAAAAAAAAATCTTATTTTCCTAAACTAATTTTGTGTGATAATTGTTATTTAATACTCCTCAAAGTTATTTCTTATTAAGATAATTTATTCTCAAGCACCGTTCTTTGATCAGGAGAGCACTATGCAACTGAGGTCGGCTATCATTTTGATAACACTAAGATGTACATCCTCCATTTGAAGTTATAGTAAACTAACAATACAAAAAAGAATTGTCTGTGACAACCTCTAAAAGAGATGAGAAGCATGGATAAAGTGAAATGATTTATAAGATCCTTAAAAACAACAATAATAATATCAAGAGACCATAAAAGAAGAAATACATAACAAACCGTTATATTTTTCATTAAAAAGAACCAACAACAACAACAACAACATCAAGCCTTTATCCCACTACGTGGAGTCGGCTACATGAATCTTTTTTCTCCATTGTGTCCTATTAAAAGTCAAATTCTCATATAAATCTAATAAAGAAAGGTAATTCATAATATTTTCTAACCAAGTCTTTTTAGGTCTACCCCTACCTTTCTTAACACAAGTCAAATCTAATGTCTCTACTCTCCTAACCGGGTCATCGGAAGACCGCCTTTTTATGTGACCAAACCATCTAAGGCGACTCTCTCTAATCTTATCTTCTACTGGAGCTACTCCAACCTTTTCACGTATATGCTCATTTCGTATCCTATCTCTAAGGGTGAGGATTATAAAAAATATAATAACTACGGAATATATTAATACATGAAGTCTCTGAAGCATAGATAATATAAAAATTGAAGTAGCTACATATTACATGAAATAAATAAATAAAAGATAACAAAGTGCGTCGAGGACAAAGCGATCCGATAAGTTGTGAAATTATATTTGGAATATATTAAAAAGAAACTTGTGGTTCACGAAGCTCTTGCTAATGAGTAGGAATGGTGATCCACAAACCTCAATTTAGGATTGATGTTCTATCATCTATGGACTTAGTTGTGGAGGCTTGTAGATGGAGTGATCTCTGCAAATCCTAGCATAATTGAGGTTTTCACTATTTAGGATTCTTCCATTTGGGAGTTTTACTGGAATATTTATATTGGATGGTAATAAACATGAAACAAAGTTCTTATAGTCATTTGAATTAGGGTTTCCAAAATGAAATAATGCTACTAAGGAAACTAGAAACAAGATAAATAAGAACTAAGTTGGAACTTATTTAGACGATAATGAATTATATTGCTTATGCTTTGTTCTCCTTTTGATTTTTCTTATTGCTTTAGTTGTTGACTTGTTGTCTTTTTTTCTCTTTCTCATCACAAGCATACACAAAGATACAGATATGTAGATGTGCACACACATACACATGTTATCCTCCCCTTCCTTAGATCATAGAGTGAATGGCCCTCCTCTTAAAGGAGCTGAAGTGCCTGGTCATCTCATGTGATAAAGTTCAAAGTGATCCCTTCTTACTTTTTGGCTCCTCCTTTGATAGTGCAACCTCTTTGTTTGGTATAGGTCCTTTCTAGAATTTATGTAGGTCTATATAAGCCTGTGGGCCTGTTTTAACTCTTCTAATTAGATTAGGATTAGCCCAATTATACTGAAACATCCTTTGATTCACCCAATATCCTAGCAAATAATTGTTGGAGATCTTCCTTGATCAATAAACAACAAATTTGATCTAAGACCACGGATCTTAGTTATTTTAACAATTAGATTCCACAATATGGATCTAACAACTAGCAAAGATACAGTGGCTATAATTGCTAAATGTATCCTACTCCCTTTGTTCCATTCTGCTAGCTAAATGAACTGTCAGGTTAAGCTTAGGATTCATTAGTTGATAAAATTCATGAATCTGATAAAATGTTATTGTTAATACTATGCCTCATATAATCATATACTTACAACTTGTCCTCTTAGTTAAGTTTAGTTATTTAAACCATAACAACTTATAAAAGGGCTTATGGGAATTCAAGCTTCGCATGTTTCTTTTGTTGAATTAAGGTAAAAGAATGTAAAATTAATGAAGCAAAGTTCATCAGGAAGGAAATTACATGTTAAATTAGCGACAATTCTCAATAAGCTTATCAATAAATGGTTAGTTGACTGATTATCAACTGCAGAACTCCCACTTGGAGAAATGTCGGAAGTATTTTTCCTCCTTTTTTTATTATGGTCTGCCAAACGTCGACGACAACTTCTTTTCCCTTCATCAAACTCTTGAAGGAGGTGAAATCTATAACATAGCAAAACAAATGTCAAGAAAAAATAAGTATGTGGTACTGCAATATTTTAACAGAGGTTTATATATATATATATAAGGCTAATTCATAGAAATAATAGCAAGCATCAATTTACATATTTTTGTTAAAAAAAATGAAACAAGTAGAAAAATTTGAACTTTTCAGCAAAAATGGTGAAATTTTTCATCTAATGTAATTATTAAATATTTCTAAACCATAACAACCATCATTTTAGAAGTCTTTGACGTCTCATTAATACCTACAAGACTCTAATACCCTAAAATTTTGCATTTGATAAGAAATAGAGCAAAACAAACCTTAGAATCGTGTTTAATGCACTACTGCTAAACTTTCATAAATATAATAGCTATAAGAAAGTCAATTGTTCTTGTTGATAACTCAAGAATGATCCATATGATGTGATACCAAAGATTTTAGTCCTAAGATGATAAGGATCGTGATAATTAGCCTTATGTCAACTAGTTGGCATTGTTTGAAATGATAAACATTCAAGTTTGGAAAAGAGGTCCTAAATAAATACTCTAGCCCAAATACCCTTCATTTGCTAATGCAAATTTATTTAGAGCATGTCGATAATATATGGTTTTATCTAGATTTAAAAGCCTTTGTGTTCCTTCAAGTTTGTTCTAGGAGTTGAGTTCAAGTAAGAAAGGTCTTTTGTGTTCGTTTACAAACTTTTCAAATTTTACAATGCAACAATGTCCAAATAAGGTATAGAATCAAGGTTAATGAAGATAATGGTGAATAAAAATTGGTGGAATTTCTGGCTTAATCGTTCAAAGCACTGATCACTTGTATAAAGGAAAAAAAATCACTTGAGAGCTTTCAGCTAATCTTTGATGCATGAAATAACTAATAAAACTCAGCATGTAAGTTGATAGATGAGGAATGACTAAACATGACGAGCTTCATTAAATGCTCCTGAACAGGAACTTGCGCAACTCTTCCATCATCTCATCCATGAGTTATTGACTTTCTTATGTAAAATCATTTAGAGAATATAATATGATACACTTGATTGTGAATGTAAGTCACTCTGTTCTTTAAATATTGTTTAAGTTCATTTATAAGCTCGTAGGTACTTATTTGCATGCCCATGAGTTTGCATTTTCAATACTTCTATAAAATTTTGGGTATCAAGTTTTTTATTTGTTTTTTTTTTTCTTCCACGTTCTGATCCAAACTCAAATTTTAATGTCAAGAACAATTACCAATGGGACAAATCCAGCAATAAAATATTCAGGCCAGAAGTCGAAAAAAAAAATCTACGGATATTAGATGGATGTAATATAAGAACATGAGCATGAAAGTTTAAAAATCAGATTACTAAACTGAATGAATGGCTGTAGTTACATATTACCAGATCAAATAGCTTTATAATAGCAACCTGGTATAGGTAAGGAAGAAGTTAAAGTACTAACCTACTGCATTGTTGACAAAAACGCTGTATAATATTCCCAATTACTGCACTGCTAGCCTTAGCATGCACCTCGCACACTTTATGACGCCTATGGTAGTCTTTGCATTGGCTCAAATCAGCATCACAGCCCTCCACCTGACACTTAGGATGGTTTAAATTGCTAGCCTGCTCCAGGCCCCTCTTACCATTTTTCATTCCTCCAACATCCAGATCATCTTCCATAATTGGATATATCTGACCGCCAAGCTTTAAAGTAAGAGACCCAACTTCATCACATTGCTTATCATCTTCAACAACCAAAATCCGTCTCCGCTTGTCCGCTTCACCTAGTCCTTTCCCAATGATTCTATAGTTACACTCATCAGAGCCAGTCAATGAGGTGTTTGAAACACACACATCATGGCATGGCTGCTTGTTGCAATCTAAAGGTCTGGGGTTCACAGGAACAGCCACAAAACCTTCTCCATCCCATGTCCACTCATTTAAATCCCATTCCTGAGTCTTCTGTTTCTGTCCTCTTGAAGAATCGGTAGAGAAAATTTGATGGATATCCCCGCCCATGTCAGCCTCCACCTATCCAAAACACACACGAAGCGCTTGGACGGAAAATCAGAACCCCACCAATTCGTAAAGTTCAAACAGGCCGGCGCCCGCAAATTACGGGCACAACCAAAACCGTAGAGGTAAACAAATCCTAATCCGCCTCACTTCGTCCCCAGAAATCCATAATCAAAACGCCGTCGCATCCGTGAATCCACACAAAAGAAATCCACATGTCCAAAACAAACCTCCCAGCAAACCCCACAAAGACTACAGAGTTCAAGACCGCCAAAATCAAGCAAATGTAACCCTAGCCCACAACAGCTGACTCTAGACTCCAAATAAATGTCTCTCCTAAACACAAAATAACAGAGAACAAACCAAGATACAAAGGGTCAAAAACCTAGCCTCACCGAAGATCGTTTCAAAGCTCGATCGTTACAAATTGTCAAAACACCCCAACGCAAATACCAATTAGATAAACAACCAGCTCGGAATCTCAGCAACGCGAGACAAGCGCGAAACTCAAGCTATAAATCATTGAGACCTGAATCCCTACGAGAATTTCCACTCCCAAGCTACGTAATTAAAACAAACTAACCACGACAACGTCCCATACCTAGAACAGAGCACAACAAAAGAGCAAATCCATAATCCCCACTTCAGACTCCCCAATCAGAACAACGCCCTGCCGCGATCGATATCTCCGACGGAAGAACCGCCGCCCCCTCTCCCGCCGGAGAAACTCGAAGTGGGAGCTGAGGAAGAATTAATGGAAGGGAGACACGTGAATAATAAAATGGTTCTTCGGAGAAATAGATGCGGTGTGAGAAGGAAGGAGAGCGAAAGCAGTGACAGATTCTAATATGGTACGATACTACGCTTTACGGTCCAAGAGTTAGAGAAACTTCGCCGTGCGAAACACAATAAAAAACATTAATTTATATAAACTCAGCGCTCAACTATTTAGACTAAATTTTATTTATTTATTTATTTTTGAAATAAATTAGTTTTTCTAATCTTCAGTCTAAATTTATAAGAAAAAATTGAGTTCAGTAAATTTGATTAGAATGAGATTTTAGATCTTGTTTGGAATAATTTCTTTATCATTTTTTAAAATAAATTTTTAGTATAATTTTTTAGTATAAAAAATTATTTTAGAAAATAATTAGAAAGTTGTCTTAAACGAAATCGGGTCTATAATTTTTTTACTAAAAAATTGTTTTAAAAAATAATAAAGAAGCTGTCAAAAATAGAGCCTTAGGATTATATTTATTTTTAGATAAGATTAATAAAACTATAATGATTGATATGATTACATAAAGTTCATTTGATATAATATTTGAAGTGAAATTTTCAAGAATTAAATTCAAGGTAATATGAATTTCTACTTTAACAAATTTTTAGTCAAATTGAATGTCTTGACGAGACAAAACAATCAATACTGCAAATGATCTGATTCAAGTCCAAATAAGTTCAACTAAAGCACTTGAATTATATTTTGAAGCTTTTAAATATAAATTGATGCATCAAATGACATACAATTGTAGTATGCTTACAATTAAATTGAGTGGCACGACAAGACGAATCTAAAAAGCCCAAAATCATTTATATCTGACATTTTTAAGGTATTCAAATGTTTGATAAATGATATATGATCAATGTGATTAATATGGATTGTACGAGGAGTGATTTTGATTATGGTCAAATTTACAAAATTACTCATCTAAAAAAAGCCTATGAATAGAGACAATTTATAAACAAAGGGTGATTTAAGAGCTAAGAGAACTAAAGAAGTCTTTTGCATTTTATGGCTATCATTGTTGACGATCACAACCAGTAATTGCCGCCACCAGGGATGTAATCAATTCAAGTCGAGCTTAAGTCATAGCAAACTTGAGCTCGACTCGTCACTCAAACAAACAACTCGAAGTCGTGCTCGAGCTCTAGTCGAGCCTACTGAATGCGCTCAAACAAGACTCGAGCATTCGAACTCAAGCTCGAGAGCTCAACTCAACATATAGTTACCGGCAGGATTCACCAACAAAGTTATGTAGTTGCGTACTGCGGTGGAGCCATGAAGAGGTTGCAGGAGTGTGCTATGCTTCGCCAAAATAACAAGATCTCAAGAAGAAGGGGGGATCGGTCCCCCTCTCTCTCTCTCTCTCTCTCTCACTCTCTTTCTCTCTCAAACAATTGCTTAAATTGCATGATAATAGATGATATGACATTTTTTAAGTGATGCACAATTATTTTAAATGCGATTATTAAATGCATAAGATTTTAGTGCCCATTATTTTAAATACTTATTTCAACTAAAAAATATTTTTAAATACTTAACGTAATTAATTAAATCACCTTGCGAGCAGAGAAGACGAGTTTAAACAAACTCAAATTGGAGCTCGTTTAGTATTCGAGCTCGAGTTTGAGCTTGTGGCTCAATAAGTTCGACTCACGAGCTTGTTAATAGGTCGAACTCGAGCTAAATCATGAGCCATTGCCAACTCAACTTGTTTACACCCCCAGTCACCACTATCTCAAGAATCTTATTAAGATTTTGTGTGAAAGAGAGGGTCATTGCATTTCCTAATATATAGTAGATTATTTATTGGGTCACCCCTCATGATTATCCCTTTTCTAATTTTTTACGTAAAAAATTTCTCATCTTGCACAGCGTTTTTGTATGTGCTGAGTTTTTATCAAAAACTAAGACATAAAATATACGCTATACTATCACAAATTTTCTAACATGTAACCATGATTAAAATAACTCGTCTAGTCCTAACACAACCTTTTTTTTAAATCATATTATTTTAATATATATATTTAATATCTTTACATTATCTTTGCACAATGGTGTTTCAAAGATAATTAGCATTCGGCACAATTTCATAAATTTTATCTAAAGGACTGTATTTATTAAATAATAGCATTATCTCTCACTATAGATTGCATGGAAATGTATTTATCGTTTAATAAAAAAATGTATTTTATTATTTGGAATGGTCAACAATTATTTGAAGTTTTTTTAATCAATTATTTGACCATCATTATCAATAAATATAAGAAGTATTAAGATGTCTTTTATAAATACTAAAAAAATAATTTAAAATTAGCATTTAAATCTATCATCGAATCTAAGTGAAGTAAACGGCCCTCTAACAAATAAATTACTAAGGTCACAGATGGTATAAATGTAAAAAACTAATATTTGAACTATGAATTTGATATAAGAGGTATCGAAATATATTTGAAGTTGTTTGGATGAGTGTTAAAAGAATGGTGGTGATTATAATTTTTATTATTTGTTTAACATAAAGTAAAATAAATGTAATATAAAGTCAAACGATGCTGACAACGGTGGCGGTATGTGGCGGGGGACAATGGTGATCGGCCCGTGGCAGCAGCGTTTAATCAAAATGGCAGTGGTGGTGATCATCAGGTGGCGGGTGGTGGCATTATAGTTAGCTCACAAATCACCGACAGACCCGCATACAATCATCTGCCCACCCTCATATAAGAGAGAGAGAGAGAGAGAGAGAGAGAGGGAGATTTTTGCCTGCACCTTTATTCTGTTTTTCTCTACCCCGCGTATTGCGCGTCGTTCAACCACAGTCCTGAATCCCCCCCCCCCCCTCCCTTTAGGCTTTGCTCTTCCTACCGCAATGCTTACAATCCTAGTACACCAGTCATAGTCCCCTACAGCCCTACTCACGACTCGGGAGATGTTCCTACACCACCAACAGACCAAACCGGTCGTCACCTGATGCTCGCCATTCTCGCCTATTGGATTGAATGTAAGAAAAGTTTAGAAATTCCTGAAATTTTCTTCTTTTATTTTTAAAGTGAATGTGTTATTGAATATCAAATCATAGCTTATATGTGAATTATTGGTATGCTTTGTTAGGTTAAACTAGTTATTTGTTATTTACCTTTTTATACCGGGGTTTTTACATACTTAACACTTAAAACTATTCCATTTTCTTATCTAACACCCAAACTTTACTATTTAGTATTCTACCATCTAAAATCCTTTTCCTCATCAAAGCTAACACTCTGTAACCTCCCGTACAATACCTCACCTCCTGATTCCTTTGTTGGAAACGATGGCCTCTACTTCCTCGGTGGTGTGTGCTTCATTGCCTCTGAATTGTCGGTGTGACAATTTGCTCACCATATGGGTTGGTACTCAATCCAATGAGTCATTCGCCAAAGCCTAGAAGGCTGACGCAACTTCGACCTCCCGATGTAAAATTTACCTATTGTTGAAGCTCTGGTACCTCTGCATCACTTTGATCGAGGCACAAGAAATATCGACGCCGACGATGGAGATATGTTTGTTCATCCGCGCTACTCTAGACTTCTCTTGTCTTCTTCCTCATTCAAACTATGATTTTTCTAGCATTCATCTGCTCAGGAGTCGTGTGGGTCTCCTCAATTTGCTTCGGTGCGTAAGCTTATGTTTTAGGGAGTCCTTGTGCAAGCTTGGGTTTCAAGGAAAAGCTCTCATTTTTATTGTATTGTGCCGCCGAGATTGTGTAGGCATAGATCTCTTATATGTGATTCCACAACAATGATATTGAACCACCTGTAGAGTCGCTGGGCCAACCTTCCTCCTGAACTTCTTTGTGATGTGATTAGAAGATTGGAGGCAAGTGAAAGTACACGGCTTTCAAGAAAACATGTTGTTGCATGTGCCGCTGTCTGCAGACCATGAAGGGAATTATGCAAAGAAATTGTCATGAGTCCAGAGCTCTCCTGTTAGTAAAAAGAAGTCGACTCACAACCTATACATAATATGTAATTCAATGGATCCCGAAAACATCTCAAGGTCAAGCAACACCCACATTGGCAAGCTGAGATCAAACTTTTTAGGTACAAAGTTTATAGTATATGATATAAGAATGTTGCCTCTCTATGCCATCATGGGACAACAAGCCGCATATTTTACTCCAAGAAAGTCTCACCTAAAGTACCAATAGGCAGCTACAACATAGCCCAAGTCTCATATGAACTTAATGTACTTGGCATTCGAACCCATTTCCCTTCATCTCTTTATTTTCATTAATCTTAGTCGAAAGCGACTTAATTCAATCCAGTCGGCCTGGAGTAGATGAGTAGCGCTGGCAGCGTGCGATTGGGATGTTCACACGAAGAGGAGAATGATCCCACGCAAAGCAAAGTAGGCATTTCGGAAAGGGTCGGGGTGAGGTATTTAATTTGACGGGAGGTTACAAGGTGGTAGTTTTGATGAGGGCAAGAGTTTTTATATGGTAGAATAGTAAATAGTAAAGTTTGGGTGTTAGATAAGTAAATAGAATAGTTTTAAGTGTTAGGTACCCTTTATATATTGAGTTTCTCACCATAAAAAAAGGCCGGATCTGCCCCTGGTTATAGTGAAAAAAAAAACCTTAGACAAAATTAAGTGGATGAATTTATAATATGACAAAAATGAACTAGAGAGTGAAAAAGAAATTCATTAAAACTTTAAACTATATTCATTTCTTATCAAACTAAATACTCAAAATTTGAATTTCTCTACATTTAGAATGTTTCATATTCCTTTTTCAATCCTACTGAAGACCCGACGTCCTGCCGAAAACTCAACATCCTGTTCAAGGCCCGACACTCGGTCCCTACGTCCTGTTCAAGGCCCGACACTCAGTCCCTACGTCCTGCTGAAGACCCGACGTCTTACTCTGGACCCAACGTTCAGTCCCTACGTCCTCCCAAAGACCTGACGTCTTACTTAAGTAACTGATTGTAACCTGATCACCCTTGGAGGTGATTCAGTCCTTTGTAACCAACTCAAAGTCTAGTGGAATCATTTTCAACTGGGCGAGGCCTCGTGGTTTTTTCCCTTTTTAAGGGTTTTCCACGTAAAAAATCTTGTGTTCTCTGTGTGTGAGCTA